CCTCAGCCATGGTTTCTCACCCCGCCACCTTTAAAGCCGGGTGGACCCAACTCCCAAGAATCCCCAGCCCGCCAAGGCTGGTGGGGGAATTCTGGGAGTTGAAGTCCACCCGTCTTAAAGTGGCCGAGGTTGAGAAACACTGCCTGAGTCTCTTGCTAGCTGACCAGGAGGCAGAGATTTCAGAGAATGTAGCCCAGTTCTGGGTCCTCCAAGTCCTCCAATTCCTCCAAGTTGGGGTTCCTCAACCTTGGTGACTTGAAGATGTGTGGACTTTAAGTCCCAGAATTCCCCAGCCAGCAAGGCTGGCTGGGGAATTCTGGGAGTTGAAGTCCACACATGACTTGAAGATGCATGGAGTTGAAGTCCACACAGGACTTGAAGATGACTTGAAGATGTGTGGAGTCCAAACATGACTTGAAGATGTGTGTGCATGGAGTTGAAGTCCACACAGGACTTGAAGATGACTTGAAGATGTGTGGAGTCCAAACATGACTTGAAGATGTGTGGACTTCAACTCCCAGAATTCTGGGAGTTGAAGTCCACACATCTTCAAGTTGCCAAGGTTGAGAAACACTGCTCCAAATGATGTGATGCTGAGCCTGACCTAGGTGCCCATGACTCAATCTTTTCTACAATTTTTCCCTCCTGGATTTTTCCTTTTTTTCCCCCCTTTTAAATATACACAGACCATTCTACGTTTTATTTTGCTATTTCTTTGTTGCAGTTGGGTTGGATCGTAACTGTCCTCATCCCAACCAACCCTAGTACAGCAAGTGTTAGACTCAATATAAGTTTTACATTCTGGTAGTGTTTTATAAATTTTATTTACATCATTATTCATAGCTATCTATCTTAATTATCTATAGGATTCAGACTATTGATTGTAATTTTATAGGTCCCTCTTAGGTTTTCATCACTGAATTTTGTAATTTATGTTAATAGTTTTTATTTTATTCTATCAATATGATTGTTTATCATACTGAGAGAATATTTTTACTTCTGTTTTAGGGTGACTGTCCTGTTATTAGTTTTATGCTGGTCTATGACTGAAATAAACAAGCAAACAAATATGTGGGTAATTAAGGCATCTTTTGTATTCTGTATTCACCACGCAAGGTGCAAATGAGTTAGGATTCACAAACAGCAGGCATGGCAGAAGGAGTGTAAAAATGCAAGATTTTATAGGGGCCACCTGGGTGGAATGAGAGGAACAGCAAAACGTAGTGCTCATTTTTGGTCCAGGAAAAAAACAACCCCCCCCCCAACCACTTTTAGCAATTTTCTTTGTGAAGGATTTTGTAAGTATGGGGAGAAGACAAATATTAGAACTTGGAACATGATTACCAAGTCTGTGTTGTCTCCTGGCAGGTTGCAAATCAGTAAGTTTAGGGAGCTTGCTTTGATCCTGTACATACTGTGATTCATCAGTGGGTACTTGCAGGGTGTCTTTTCAGTTTTCCTACGAGCCATTGAGTTTCGTAGCGGTGCAACCACGCTTTCTCTTTTTTTAATCCTATTTCAGCTGATGCTGAGGGGGAAGAGCTCGGAGAGTCGTCATGAAGCAGCTGCTTTGCACGCGGGATATTCCAGCTTCAGGACAAACATAACCCCTCCACCCCCAGGCCCCCACGGGTGGGATGAGAGAACCGGCGTGGGAGAAGGCAAATCCGCGCATTTCTACTCACTTGCAAGGTTTCTCGGCATATGTAGGCAATCTGTAGCTCAGACAGGGGCCCCGTGACTGAAAGGCAACAAGACACAGTGAATATCATTTTTCATCCTGCAAGACGTTTCTCCTCTCCTCAGCACCACTGCTGATATTTTGATATTAGATTTTTCCAGATCTAATTCTGGATCTGGAAAAATCCAGGATTAGATTGCCTGGGAAAATGAGGAATTGCAATCCCAAAACAGCCTGGCTCGGACACTTTACGCGTAAAGAAGATGCCCTGGTCTATCTTGGGCTCTGAAAAGATGTTTGTGTTCTGTTTAAACACTTTTGCTTTTTCTTTATATAGGTCTAGATTGCTGTGCACTGCCTTGGTGACTTTTAGCAAAACAATACCTGCATGTCTGAAAAATTACAGAAGTGGAAATGTCTGACAAGACTGCCCCTTGAAATATACGTTTCCCCTTCTAGCCTATCTTTCTTCCAGCACCAACCACCAGAAAGTTTTTGAATACAGTAAAAGTCAAAGAGAAAGGGGGAAAAAGAAGAAAAGGTTTTTTAGAAGTTAAAGAAAAGAAAAGCTCTGTTCTTTTTTCTGATCTCCACCGATCAAACGCCGTTTGTGCTTTGAAGTCTCTTCATCCTGTTCACATCACCCAACCATCAAGGCAAGTACAAAAAGAAGACCAAAAAAACCCTGCCTAAATTGTCTAAATGCCTAGGATTCCTATCTCCAGTTGTCTGTATATGCCTTAGAGAAAAAGCAAACCGCCCACCACTTCTGCATTTTTGCTGGGATGCTCAGGGACAGCGTTCCAGGTGACCTCTGATCTCCATTGACCCCCCAGGAGAGAGACAACTGCCGAAGGGAGGAAGCGAAGAAGTGACAAGAAACATTAAAAATGAAAACGAGAAAGCTGTGTTGTGGTCAGCTTTTCATCATTAGAAATGTGCTTGTGATGCTCTTCTGCCTACACTCAGAAACCAGAAGGCGGGGAGACCACAGGTTTAGTGCCCCACAGCAACAAAGACACTCAGGACAGCCTTTGTCTAAACTCGCCTCCCCTCTTGTTCCAACTGCGACAAACCACTTGTCTGGTCTCTTCGCCCTGCTGTGAACGTAACTTTCTGAAAACAGAACCCCTCCTATTTCCTTCTGCCATGAAGGATGGAATCAGGACAGACAAAAGGAGATGTTTTTTACCCAACACATAATCAGACTTTGGAATTTGCTACCCTGAGATGCGGTGCTGGCGACCAGCTTGTCTGGCTTAAAGGGTTGGACCAATTCATGGAAGTCCTGGGGATCAGTGGCTCTTAGCCGTGGGACTGCCGCTGAAGGCCGTCTGCTGGGAGAAGAGTAGTTGGGTGGCCACTGTGAGAAGAGACCGCTGGACTAGATAGGCCAAGGGTCTGATCCAGCAGATTTATGTTCTTATGTTCTTTCATAATTTAACCCTGTCTCCAGAGAGCTTAATGTTGGAGCTGGCATGACTTTGGTACTGGGTGGGGTTATTCTCTTGTCTCTGATGGATCAGGACATTCATGACATTTTGAAGTCTCGGCTGCAAGTGGATCACACTGGTGGCAACATCGCCATGGGGTTTGGGGTATTGTTTGGTGAAGAAGAGGACAAACACAGCCAGCCAGCAGACTTCTTAGAAGACCTGAAGGTTGGGGAATTGTTTGGAAGGCTCTCCTACATTAAGCACACACATCAACTTGCAACTAGACCATTCAAAAAGCAGAGAGTGATCTGGGCCAGGAGATCTCTCCTTGATCCAACACTAGGCTTTTAAATGCATTCCTGCAGGGAGCTTTTCTTACTGATTTGACTTACAGTATATTATTTGCACCACACCACAAGGAATTAATAATTCCTTCCAGCCCATTAACAAGTCTTCTTTCAGGCTTGCGTGAAAGTAGCAAAACTTTGTGAAACTGCAGAAGAACGGGTGTGTTTGTCAAGGAAACAGGAGTGCGTAGCCTGATGATTCCCTGTGTCTTCTATGGTTTTCTGCTCTCAGTGCAAAGCAGCTCTACAGTGCAAAACAATAGCAGCCTGGAAAGGGGGAAGTTCATAGCCTAACCTAAGCAAGTTGAAGAACGTGGGGTCTCTTCCTTTGAAACAGGTGCTGCTGACATGCTAGAGAAAAGCCATCAACCGCACTTGGTTTCACTTCTGTTGCAAAAATGACTGCCTAATTATTTGATTCTACTCCTTCCCCAAGGAGCATATGAACCTGGGACCCAAAATGACATGATGGGGAGGGGGGGCCTGTGAATCTTTCCCTCCTCTTTTAACGACTGTCCTTACATTTAAATTAAAACACTCTGGGAGATCAGGACAAAGGGAAGTTTCACATCTCTCCACTGGAAAGTTCCCTCTGCTGCATCTTGGTTATACCCATCCTTTCTTGAGCGGGGGCCTTCCAGAGGGCTAACATGGCCATCACCCACGGCATCTGGAAGGAGAAGGGAGGCCGGTCTCCTCTGGCCAGGAATGGCTGTCCAGGGCTTGGAGACGCTGGCATTGACCCTTCCACATGCAAAGCAGCAGATGCCGTTCTCCCACGTGAGTTGGTTTCCCGTCATCCCAACCTTGACCTCAGCCCCATATCAATCTGCAAGCTTCTTTAAAAGTCTGTGTCAAAAAGGCCTAAACGTTTTAACATGTGTTTCTCCCAGGGGAGAAACTGTTCTTTTGCAGTGTCCCCCAGCGTGTGCCCTTTTTGCAAATCCTTTTTCCTCTTTGACGTATCGTTCTGTATATGATTTCCCCAGCGTGTTCTGTTTTGAATGGTAGTTTCTGCTCGCTAAGTGGCCTTGCGATACTTGAAAAAGGCTGAGTATTGTCGTGAAGCTGTGCTGAGGAAGTGCAAATGAGACAGCCTCCCTCTAAAATGCAAACGGAAGGGATTTCTCCTGTTTTCTTAGCAGGGAGGAGCAAAGAGTTACCTTGATAGATGTCTTGGAGAGAGCCTCCCCCACAGAACTCCATGCAAATCCACAGCTTGTTGAACCTGAAGGCAGGGGAGGAAGAGCGAGAGAGCAGAGGTTTCACACTGCAGAATGGGAGCAAGGGCTGGAAGGAGGAGGGATCGGGGCCAGCCACCCCGGTTGGACACAAGCACTTTCTAATCATGCGCACTTTTGCACCCCCAGGATATTACACAAGGTTTTGGGACAGCCACCCCTCCTCAAGGCAGGGAAATATTTACAAGAGAATTGTCCAATCTTCAGAGAAGGTTCGCTCACCGGATGTAACTCCCATAGTACGCGACAATGTTCTGATGTTTGCACGTTTTCACCATCACGATCTCTTGCTGGATAGCAACACAGTCATCATCTGGAGAAAAGCAACAATAACGGCATTTTAGGGCCCCGCTCGATGGGAACCGGGTGAATGGAAGACAAGGAGCACAGTGTTAACCCATCAGTCGCCCCAGGGAAGATCCAGGGAGCAAGAAGACCGCAGGGTGGTGGGTTTTCCCCAGGACCACAGTCAAGGGAGAAATGGAGTAATCTGGGTGTCTCTGCCCTGGTTCCTCCCAAATGCATTGTGACTTCAGTTCAGAATCTGGAATGCAAGTGGGAACAGATGATCTGGGTGCTGTTCTACTGGGGTTTAGGCAGCTGTTTAGGTTCTTTTTTAATCGGCTAATTAATTAATTGATTTTTAAAATATCATTTTTTACGTGTACTGTTCTTCCACCTCAAAGCACCTTACAAGAAAACAATCTGAAACGAAGCACCATAAGAAGCTCAGAGTCATTACTGTAAAGATAAAGAAACATGGTTTAGTTTGGCCTTAGCAAAGTAAAGCCATAGAGTAGCCTGGTTTCCATCACATTTCAGATAATTATTGCTGGGTTAGAGTCTAAAAAGGTCTCCTTCACCTTAAAAGGGTCCCCCAGCAAATTAGATTTAAATTCCCCTCTTTCTCTGTCCAATGGCCAAGTTTGTTGGAGATTATAGGAGTTGGATCCAACACATCTGGAAGGTGCTGTTTTCTGTCTAAATGCAGAAAATCTCCTTTTCCTCCAGCTGTGCTGCTTGGTAGTTCCCTGTTTCCAAGAGAAGCAAATTCTAATCTTCAAGCCACTTATTTGCAGAAGTGCTGTAAGCCTTTGAAATGTTTTTTTGAAAGGATATTTCCTTGCAAGTTACATAAAGAGGAAATCGATATGCATGTATGGGCAGGACAGAGGGAATAACAAAGAAAAAGAAAAAGAAAGAAAGTGCTTTTAAAAAAAAAAAAATCAGGCCAAACCTGATGTGAAATGGGTGAATGAAAGACAAATAGGCACAGTTTTGAAAACTGAAGAGTCCTAAGGAAGATCTGAGGAGCAATAGCACTGCAGAGAAAAGGAGGTGGTTTTTACTGAGCTGAAGGAAGGGCAGATAAGATCTTTCAGTGCCCCTAAAAAACAGGCAATTTCCAACTTGTTTTCTCAAGCTTTAGTCATGACTTCTGACAGATTCTCCTCCAGGTCAGGTTGCCAACAGAGCTTTTCCTTCCACATGCAATCACACGTGATATGTGGTAATCAGTATCTTTTAAATCCATCTACAACTATTCCAACCTTTCCCATCCCATTGTGGATATTAACTACTTTTTGGAAATCAGCGATGCCGTCTCAAGTTACGTGGTTTGGCACCACACTGATCTGGAAAGGTTCCACTTACAGCTCTGGAATTAATAGAATGAAAGATTTATATTATGGGATAAAAGCTGAACGTTGAAAGGCAAAATTGGAAATATGTCAAGGCAGCCACCAGTTGAAGAACTGTTTGCTCCTAAGCAAAATTTCTTCTGTCTCCTTCCTTGCAAATCTTCCAAAGAGGAGGCTCACCAAACAACAGGATCTGTGCCCTCCAGATGTGGCTGGACTTCAGCTGCCAGCATCTCCACTATGGGTCACGTTATTTATGGCAGCTGTAATTCAACATCATCAGGAGAACCACAGATGTCTCTTCCTTGCAGCGAAGAACTGAATGGGACTTCCAGAAGAGCTTATTTCTCTCCCCATCTCCAAGAATTACAACAATATTCGGCTTCTGAACAAAAGGCCTCCTCCTTGCAAATGAGTAAAAGCGAACCCCAGCCCGAGCAGGTGGGATTTTTCCAGGCAGACGATGCCTTTTCAGGTGAATGTGATGCTCAGCAGAATGCCTCTTAAAAACCAACCCTGTGGGGGCTTTCCCAGTTATTGCATAAGTTGGGGTGTCTCTGTGTATGTTCAGGCTGTCACCTGAATCCCGTTTAGGATACGCTGGCTTGCAAAAAAGGAAAAGAAAGAACAGGCTGTAGTTCTCCTTGCTCACCTGCTTCCATCTTCACAATTTTGATAGCAGACAGCTTCCCCGACTCTCTGTTCCTCGCCTGAGAAGAAGAAGTGACCCGAATGTTAAAAAAAGTGTGGAGGAGTGGCAAGGGGCAGAAATGCTATTTGAGCGGAGCAGATGGAAGCTACAGAGGGGTAACAGGAGCCACGTTCCAGTCCCAAGGCTACTCCGTCGCTTCTGGTTTTACCAGACTGTAAGCAGAAGACCCCCCTCCCCATATCAAACCCTTTTTTCACCGTGGCTTTCTCTAACATTTCCCACTTTGGAAGGGAAAGTGAGAAAGAGGAAGCAAGAACCCCAACTAAAAACGCGCTGCAGAGAACTGGCAGAGGATACAGCTGTTGCTTTTTTTTTTTCATCCACGCTTTGTGCTGTTAAAGCAAGATTTTTATGTTTCTTAGGCTGTGTTGGGGGTTATCACAGCCATGCTTGCCCAGGCTGTTCACTCCTTCCTTCCTTGGAAAACGGAGGCGTGTGAAACTTGCAGAAGAGAAACGGGTTCTTTGCCTATGGACAGCGGTGCAAATAGGGGATTTTAGCCCCTTGCTGGCTTAAATGGTTGAGGGGAGGGGTCTCCAGGCACAGGCATTAATTCAGTTGTGAAGCCTATGACTAACAGGGAGAAACACCCTTTTATTGTAGGAATAGACACACACACACGGGAAAAAATACTATTTATTTATTTATTTCCTTATGCAATTTCTATAGCCGCCCATCTCAATCCAAGTGACTCTGGGTGGCGAACAATTCCAGTAATTAAAACCATTAAAACCATTACCAATTACACATATAGGCAGCTGAGAATTATCACAAAAATTACATGTTATGTACCTCTGGCCAAACTGTGAGGCTTTGTTTGATTACAGGGGTATAAAAAACAAGCAAATAAGAAATACAAGAAAGTTGTCGTAACAAACGGCCAACATCACACGGTGCTGCCCGCCTGCATCTGTGACGCTTTGAGGAATCTTTCAGGAGAAGCCTAAATTCCCAGCAATCCGGCCGTGAAAGAAGGATCGTACAAGGCTTCCATCTGAAGTGGTCAAATAACCTCTCTTTTGAATCCCTCATGATTCAAAAGATTGAATCCATGATGATTCCATACAGAGTCAAACTTACTCAGTTCAGGCCATCCAACTGGTTGTTTTAGATCAGTGTTGTCCAAACTTGGCCACTTTAAGATGAGTGGACTTCAACTCCCAGAA